GGCCCGCTGCACCCCCCCCGCGGCCTCCCGGACGGCCCGCCGCCGCCTATCCGACCGCGCCGCCGCCGCCTACCTGACCGCGCCACCGCCGGTTAGAAATTTTTTTTTCTTTTGTTTTGTCCTCTAAAAACGATGTGCGTCTTATGGTCAGGTGCGTCTTATGGTGCGAAAAATACGGTAGGTAGTCCTTAACCCACCACAACTCAGCCCACAATTTCCGTCGCTAAGCAGGACAGTTGTGAAGGCAGCCTTGCCCCATTTTAAGACCAGTCTTGCCACAGTTGCTAAGTGGATCACTGCAGGTGTCAGGAACCTGGTTGATAAGTGAATCTGGCTTCCCCGTTGACTTTGCTTGTCAAAAGGTCCCAAAAGGAGATGCTTGGGTTAAACCAGGGGTAGGCAACCTTGGCTCTTTTATGGCTCGTGGACTTCAACTCCCAGAATTCCTGAGCCAGCCACGCTGAGGGGAAAGGGAGAGGTTTCCAAGCTGAGCCATGCTGGCTCAGGAATTCTGGGAGTTGAAGTCCACGAGTCATAAAAGAGCCAAGGTTGCCTACCCCTGGGTTAAACAGAAGGCTCTTCTTGCATAGGTCCTTAATGAAGACTGCCTTAAATCCCTATATTTCTTCACTTTGTCAGCTGAAGGTGGAAGCAGCGACATACAGTTGAGTGAGATTCCCCCACCCAGTTGTAACTTTGGGGTTTATTCACAATGAATTGCGTCGGTGCAGTCTTTCTCCACCATGGCATCTTTTAAGATGGGTGGACTTCAGCTCCCAGAATTAGCACAATTAATGGGATAATCTCCTCCCATATTTTATCTACTGCGAAGCTTTTCTGCCAATGTCAGAATGGGGTAATTTCCTGCTTCCTACTCACTTGTGTCTTCAGCTCCAGAAAAAGGCATTTATTAGCTTAGCATCCTCAGGCTCCTATTTTAATTTCATACGCATTGTTCTATTTTTATCTGCATCTTAATCACCGCTCGCTGCTCTTTGCCTCTTCTGCGATGATCAGCATCAATACCCTGTAAATAAAAGAAGCTGTTTGGGGGTTTTAATCCCTTTGCAAGGCAGTTGTAAAAATACAAGGCCGTGATTTTGGTTCTCCTGTGGTCCTAAACTGGCCAGACTTTGGCCATTTTTCTTCTATTTACTCTACTGGTAGTCCTCAACCTACGACCACAATTGAGCACAAAATTTCTGTTGCTAACCGAAACAGTTGGTAAGTGAAGAGCACAAAATTTCTGTTGCTAACCGAAACAGTTGGTAAGTGAATTTTGTCCCATTTTACGACCTTGCTTGCCACCTTTAAATGAATCTGACTTCCCCTTTGCTCATCAGAAATTCGCAAAAGGGGATCACGTGACCCTAGGACGCTGCAACCGTCATAAATGCGAGTCAGTTGCCAAGTGGTTGAATTTTGGTTACGTGACCCTGGGGGTCGTAAGTGTGAAAAACGGTCACGAGCCACTTTTTTCAGTGCCGTTGTGACTTTGAACGGTCACTAAATGAACGGTTGTAAGTTTGAGGACTACCTTGTACTTACTTTTTCAAAGGAGTATGCAAGCATCAGGCACTGAAGGGCATCTTTTAATCATCACCTTACAACTTGCATAAATTCTAGCAAATTCTGGATGAGAGTTGAACTCGCGTGAACTTGATTCTGTGCCTCTGTTTATACAACCCAGGATTGTATTGTATTGTGTGAATCTCTGTAGTTCTTAAGTGAATCATGTCTGCTTTTTTCCCCCCTTTATGAAAATGGGGGACCTTTGCTGGCAGTCTGAATTGTGCCTGGTTGGGATGGGAAGAGCCCTTAATTGTTTTCATTTAAAAGCCTACGAGCGCTTGACTGTGTCATAACAAGACCGCATCGGCCGTAGTTCTTTGTGACGGTCAAAGACCCAAAATATTAACACAACATTAATATGCTTACTAAAGCCGACAAGGTCAGCGAAATATTCACGCTAGCCCATCGACCCTGTATAAATTCTGCAGGCGTTAACGGTGGAATTTAGAGACATTTAGA